CTAATTTTATTTACCTAATAACAGGAAGCCATAATACTAGTAGAGATGTAATTTTACACAAAATCCATGAAAATTAATTAAAATTTAAGGTATTTGTCTTCAATATATAAATAAAAATAGTTAAGTTAACGCCTTAATGGGGTCTTTTCCCTTAAAAAATTAATAAAAATAAATGTGGACAAATTAAATTTTTTTAGAATATCTGTGGACAGGAATATATCCCACGGATTTCCGAAATCCGAGTTCTGATTAAAATTAACGATTTGGATTTCAGAAATCCGAATCTCCATTTAATAATAAAATAATAATTAAATAAAATTTGTTTAATAATAGTTTTTAAAAATTCTTGAATAAACAGTGTCGTTCGGATTGCATAATCCAAATTCAGTTAAAAAATAATAAATTGAGGCGCGAAATATTTGAACTCAAATAAGGAGCCCGGGACCTGGACTCCTTAAATAAACAGTAGGACTCGGATTTACAAAATCCGACTTCTCAAAAAGAAAAAATTAAAAAAAATCGAGGCGCGAAATTTTGAATCCAAAAACCGAAGTCCTTAATCCGGTTTTCTGTATTCGGATTTTGGAAATCCGAATGCTTTTAATTTTGGTTGGTGGAAGTAGGCATGTGCCATAAATTGGAGGACCAAAAAATGAATTAAAAAAATCCGGAATTGACCAAACTCGAATTACGGAAAGCCGAGTCCATCGTAATTCGGATTTAAGAAATCCGAGTTACTTACGGACTCGAGTTTATCATACTATAAAAGAAAAAAAAATTTAGACAGTTTTCATTTGAGAACTGAGTTGGATTTTCTGTTTCTGGAGCTCAAACAAGGGCGAATTGGAGCTTTTGATACATTCTTGTCTCTAGATACGTGGGAATCATTATTTGAAAGAGGTTAGATTGCAAAACCATGTTATTTAGTTTAGTTTTGTGTTATTTTGATTGTTAGAATGATGTATGATAAATTAGGGTTTATGTTGGTTGGTTGTTTGGATGTTTTAGTTGTTAATTTTGAGGTTAGAGACGAGAAATCATAGTTATTTATAAGATATGGAAATTGATTTATAAATATTTTAGTATTTCATAGGTTTTTTGAATTATGAATGGAGTATGTATGGTGTATTTGTTGATTTTGATATTAAGAAGTGATTAGATATTGATTTTTTTTAAAACAGTTATCAATGGCATTTAATGTATCATACATGCTTAATTTGTTTCATACAAGCAAGTATGTGATAGATAATGGTAGCATCAACACTTTTTCGAATATGCCGGATGATTGTTTGTTTGTTGAGGAAAGGTTGTCATATGAGGGATTGATTAGTAAGATTTGTATGACACTTGGTTGGGATCCAGCACACGTGGAACTCCACATTTCTTTGATTTTCGATAGTCCCGGTGGTATGCGTGAAGTGAAGATCAATAATGATTCGCATGTAGAGTTCATGAACCGTGTAGATCCAATGTCATGTTTGGATTTATACATAGATGTGGAAGATATCATTCACGAAAAAAGAGAAGCGAGTTTGGAAAACAACGTGTCATTTGGTGGTTTTCCAAGGGGGGAACGTGCTAGTACTTCTCAAAACTGTGATGAACATGAGACACCTTTATTTGCACAAGATGACTACCGGGAATAGTCGGATCCCGACTACATAGCTCCAAATGAAAGCGAAGAAGACCGTGATGTCTCCGGAGAGATTGATTTTGACGAAAGTGATGATGAAAGGTTGGAAAATGAGGAAAGGGATTGTAATCTATTGCCCCAAAACCATGGTCGAGAGATAAGATTGGAAGAGGAAGAAAGAGAAAGGTCCCAATCCCCCCTCGGACATCACAACCACAAACTGAGGGTCAACAAAATGAGGATCAAGCACATTCTTCTCGAGGCTCGTTCAGTTTGATCTTGGTGGACTCGAGACTCAGTTTGGTGGACAGTCGCAACCACAACCGGGAGTCCTATTTCTCACCATGGGGGGGTCCCAGTCCCAGCCCCAACCGCGTAAACAACAGGGTTCAATACTCACGTATCTTAAGACGCTAGACAGGAACTGGCAGGGCCCAAATAAATATACTCCGGATGCGCATAATAAAGGAAAAGGGAAAAAATGAGACCTTTGATGTATTTTGCACGTTTAAAGTAGTTTTTAAATTGATTTTGGTTTGAAACTTAATTTGTTTCGTTATTAATCGAATGCCGTTTATTGTTTTGTTGCTATTAAATTTCTGTTTTCCAATGTTCATTGTTATCGGTGCTGTAAACAGGTTTTGGACTGGTTAAAACCAGTCCAATTTTTTTTTTCAGTTCTGGCATAAAGTCAGATTTAGGAAATCCGAACCCAGACTTTTTGTAAAGGATTCGGATTTCGCAAATCCGAATATGTAGCCAACTGGGAGTTCCCAGTTTGCAGAAAACAGAGGAGATTCGGATTACGATAATCCGAATCTACCAACATTCGGATTGCGGTAATCCGAATCTATGCCAACATTCAGATTACCGTGATCCGGGTTTACCCAAATTTAATTTTCCAATACTTATATTTTTTTCTATCCAGAAATTACTATTTTACTCGTAAATACGGATTTAAAAAATCCAGATTTATATTAATTACACTAATTTCTATCATTAACTTAATATCAGATTTACATAACACAAATTTGGATTTCCGTCATCCGAGTTTAGAGGAGTTTGAATTTTAGAAATCCGTGTTTACCCTTGATTCGGATTTTCGAAATCCGAGACATATAAGTTTGTCCACAAAATTTTTAGAAGGTTTATTTTTTTCCAAATATATTTAAGGAAAAAATTCCCTTAACGGTGGATCTCAGTTTGAAAAGAATACTCATTGTGTGACTCTGTGCAGCATCCTAGCAATGGAGAATAAGGAATCCCATGTTTGAAAAGATATTCAGTCAAACACATTTTATTGTCGGTGGCATAAGGAATCCAATGTTTTCAGTCCAAGAAAAGGAATCCGATGCATTTGTTTTCTAACATGGTCAATATACACACTTTTTCTTATAAAAGGAATCTTATCCAAGCACTTCATTCCAATTCGCATCCACTTCTCCTTCTAATCTATACCTTCAAACACTCTCAACAACAAAAAATGGCTTCCAAAAAGGGGGTTAATTATACTAGGGAAGAAGATGAACTTCTTGTGAAATGTTACATCCATATTTCAGAAAATCCAATTGACTCAAACAAGCAGAAAGCACAAACATTCTGGGAGAGAGTAACTTCCGCATTTAACGAGAACAAGAAGATTGACATGGAAGAAAGAAGTTTTAGATCATGTGAATCTCGCATTCGTATAATTGTAGGTATTTGTAAGAAGTTTAATGGATGTTTACAACATATCGAGAATCGCAACCCTAGTGGGACACAACTCGGAGATCGGGTGAGTTTATAATTTTTATTCTTTTCTAGTTTTCAATTTATGTTAGTCTTATGTTTTTTTCTTATGTATGTTAGTCTTTTTTTTTCTTTTGTAGATGAAACAAGCCGAAGAGCTATTTATTCAGACAACAAAATTTAAAACCGGGTTCAAGTTTGGCCATGTGTTTGATTTGCTATGAAATTTTGGCAAATTTAATGTCCCCCAACCAAAATACGGTTCTCGAGAGTGTACTACAATCAACGACTCATCGGAATCCGAAAATCCTAATCCCGAACAACCAACACCCGAGTCTCCAATGTTGTCATCTCTTAATCCTGAACAAAGCTACGATAGTGGTAGCGGAAGTGGACCATCATCTCGACGCCCAATGGGAGTAAAGAAAGTCAAACTGAAGAAGAAAACAGAAGACCATTTGAGTAAGATGTTTAGTACTTTCAATGCAAAAACTGATGCTATGCTTGATTTTATGAAGGCACAAGATGAACGCCAAAACCAGCAATTTGAAATATAAAAACAAAATTTGGAGTAGAAAAACAACAATAAGAGGACAAAGTGCTGATGATGGACTTGAACTCTATTCCGAATGTATCGGTTCGTCGATATTGGGAAAGAAAGCAGCTCGAAATTATACAAGCAAGGGATTTACAAGAACAACAATCTCAAGGACAATCATCGTCTAACATGGGACAGTTTGGCACACCATCAAACGATGGGCAATTTGGATTTCTCAATGATATCGGACATAGTGGAGGCAATTTGAATGATTATTATGGTAGTGATGATAATTAATTTATGAAACCGTCTACTTGTCGTTTGTATTAATGCTTAGTTTCCTAATTGTTGCTTTTATTGTCGTAGTGTGTTTATTTGTGAGTTTCAATGATGTATTTCTTTTAATTTCTATTATGTAATGTTAAGTTTGTCATCAAAACAACGTGTTTGTTTTGATTGTTTGTAGTGTTTCCTTTATGTCATATAGATTATGTATTTTTAATCTATGTTGTAATATATCTACACATTCTAAAATGAAATCTAAGATAATATAAAAATCAATCCAACGGCCAATATTATAATGAAATCTAGGATGACGGCCGGATTTATCGTTATTGTGTTTTTGGTGTTTGGTTTTGTGAGTTTAAATGATGTACTTTATTTGTACTTATTGTATAATTTAAGTTTATAAATAATCAAAATAATGTATTTGTTTTGATTGTTTGTAGTTTCTTTTTATGTGATTTTATTAATAATAATATGTGTCTTATGATTTTATAATAAATCAACAATAGTTACTTAGTCCATGTTAAAATACACATACATATATTTACTATTAAGACTTAAGTTCACTCATTAAAATGATAATTATGATTATTAATTTTGATTTTTACAACTTAAATAATAATTAAGAATGAAATAGATATATATTGAATTATAATAATTAAATTAATTAAGATCTAAACTATTAAAAAGGTTAATAGTTACAATCCAAAATAAAAAAAAAAGCAAAAAAAAGAAATGGCCCAAAGAAAGTCCAAAGAAATGGCCCAAATTTCAGTTTTAAAAAAAGCAAAAAATAAAAAAATAAAAAAGGTCCACCCGCAATATAGCAGGTGAACAGAGCCTTCAAACATGAAGGAATAGAGGGGCTCATGGCAGAGGGGCCCAGAGCGGAGCGGGCTGCGTTGAAGATCCCGCTCTGGGCGGACGCGTTGGAGATGCCCCAAGAACATAAACTGGAGAAGTCGAAAAAATGAGGCAAAAGAACTTCACCTAAGGTGTGCGGGACAGCAGGTCAGATTCATCCTTCTTCAACCGCTCTCTTCAATGTTGTTTTTTGGGTTGATTTCTGTTGTTTTAATTTGCGTCTGGAAAATGTTTACAATGTATTAGATTTTGGAAAATGTGGGTAATTTTATCGGGATGGAATTCATTGAATCTATCCATTTCTTAAGATTTCGTTTCCTTGGTTTAATTGCACAGGGGATTGTTTACTTCTGACTTCCCTAGTTTTAGAAATTGAACCAGACAATTGTCTTTATAAGCTCAATCGGACAGAATTTAGAACTCACATCAAGGATTTGTTTTTGTGGGTTGTTACTACTTCGTCTTCCACAATGAGAAAAGGATGTAGTTCTGGTTTTGGTGTTCAATCGACTGCTGCTGCTGCTCGTGTAAGAGCCCTTTTACGCTATTCTCTTTTTCCGAATTCATACCCTGATTCCTGTTTTAGCTTCCATTCTTCTGCTGAAATTTCTTCATGTAGCAAGAGTTGTTGCTCGAAATCTGAAAGTTCTAGGCTTGGTTGGCTGAGGAATGAGATTAATGAAATCAAAAGTTTAGATGATGCTCGTGATGTCTACTCCAATATGGTTCGGATGAGGCCTCTCCTAATGTGATTCAATTCAATCAGCTTCTCACGCGCGTCATTTGTATGAAGAATTATTCTGCTGCCATTGCATTTTACAGAGATATGTGTTTTCAGCGTATCCAAGTGAGTGTTCCCACCATGGGCATGGTCATCAATTGTTACTGTTTGGAGGGTCGTTCAGATTTGGGGTTTGCTACATTAGGAGCCTCCTTCAAGCGTGGGCTTGCGCCTAATGTCGTCACCTTTGGCACTTTACTCAAGGGATACTTTCGACAACATAGGGTTTCTGAAGCACAAGAACTGTTCAAGAAGATTATACGTGAAAAGGTGTGTCAACCAGACGAGATGATGATTGGGATTATAATAGACGGGTTGTCTAAGGCTGGGAATACTGAAAAATCTATTGAGTTCCTCAGAATCATGGAAAACGAAGATATGAAACTTGACTGTATTCAATACAACCCCATAATTGATGCCCTCATGAAGGATAAGATGATGGACCAAGCTCTTGATCTTTTTCATGAGATGATTGAGAAGCGTATTGCTCCTACTGTTGTTACTTACACTTGCTTGATCCGGGGATTTTGTAATTTACGCATATGGGATGAGGTCAAAAGATTTTTGGCGGAGATGACCCGTTTTGGAATTGCTCTAGATGCAGTCACTTACAATATTTTGATAGACTCATATTGCAAGGAAGGACGGATGAAAGATGCAGAAGGTATGCTTCAAAACATGATTAAAAGAGGTGTGACTCCTACTATAATCACGTATAATACAATGATGGAAGGATATTGTTTGCAAGGCCATGTAGATAAAGCAAAGAGCATTTTTGATAACATGGTTTCTGGTGGGATTGTTCCTGACATTGTTTCCTTCAATGTTTTGATCAATGGATATAATAAGCAACTGAAATTTATCGAGGCTATGCATTTGTCACAAGAGATTCAACATAAGGGTCTAACTCTTGATATTCGTTCGTACGATGTTATCTTGAAAGGAATGTTTCAATTAGGGGAGTGTTGTGCTGCCAAAGAACTTTTTAGTAAGATTCAAATGAGTTCCTTGAAACCTAGTTTTTACACATACTGTGTAATGCTGGATGGATTATGCAAGAACAGAGACATTGGCGAAGCATTACTACTTTTGGACAAGATGGAAGTGGATGGTGTAGAGCTAGATATTAATTACCATGTATACCATAATCATTGATGGATTGTGTAGAATTGGGAGACTTGATAGGGCTCGAGATATTTTTAGTTGTTTGTCTGCTAGAGGATTGAATCCCAATGTTGTGACGTACAATACAATGATAACTGCCCTATGCAAAGAAGGTTTGGTAGAAGAAGCTAAAGAGCTTTTTATCCAAATGGAAGCAAAAAGTTGTTTGGCAGATGAGATTACTTACAATGCGATTATCCGAGGAATGCTTAAGGATGGTAAGTATGACGATGCTGCAGTTTATTTTCAAGGAATGCGAAGAAAAGGATTTGTTTTGGACTTATCTAACTCATCAGACGTGCTAGATATAATCTCCAAAAGAAAAAGTGGTGCTCTTCATAATGTACTTCTGAAGTCTGATGCCAATAACAGAACATGAAAACTGTGTATGTTTTGTAAACATTCAACAATGCATTTACCAAAGGGACATCATCAACTGTGGATTTCTTCTGTGGTTCTTATTGGTGACAAATGGTAAAATTAGATGTTGCAGTTGGAGATCAAATTGGAAGATTCTTGTTAGGAAGCCGACATCAAAAGTTTGGGCAGATTCCTTCACTTACCCCCAGCTTGTGGTAGGATAATGATCTATTCTTTTGTTCTTATACAAGGCTTACGAGGAACTGCTGCTGCAACTATGCTTTTCATTTCTAGCTTCTACGCTATGGTCAACTTACTCTTTGGTTTTGCAATAATGTTGTTTCATGTGTACTTTGCAGTTTATGAAGCGCTCATGTTTAACAGGTGCCTAGAACAGTTAGGATGGGACATTTGGCCTAAGCAAGATCCATCGCAATTAGTTTTGGTCTCTGACTCTCTAAATGTGTCAGAAACCTCTGATTGATTATATGAGCTTCAGTTTCATGTCTTTGCGCAGAACATCCACGGGTTATTTCCCGTCTTTATTTTTGTCTAAATTACAGTTTTTCCGTGAGTTATGTTCATCATTTGTTTTCCAGCAGCCGATCCTCTGAAGCTCTATGTAGTTCTGCCTATGTCTACGTCGATCGACATGATCCTGCTTTTTGTTTTTTTTTTTTCCCTTTCCTACATCTGTAGTACTTGGCTTTGCTCCGGTCTGGTGGGTAAGGACTAAGACGCGACCCTGATTTTGGTTTTTGGTCATTATTGTCATTAGATTATACTCACTTTTTTCTAAAATAATTGTCGTAGTTTAGAATTTCACTTTTAGTATAATTTGAACTTAAAATGAAAATCAAAATTCATTTCGAAATGGTGTATATGTGGAAATGGAATGTCAATTTACATAATAATTCGGATGCCTATGAACTTAAAACTGACTAGTCAAACAGGCTAAATACTCCCAAATCTTTTACTTATAAAGGAGTGGTTCCAAGGCTGAAACTCCTTTCAAGAGAGTCTTACTTCATGTTCTGTTAAATTCTACACATCGTCATGCATTTTTTGGTTTGATATTTGTGAATTTTGAGCAAAACAAGTTAGTAAAGGGGAAAAGAAATATATATTCATTTATTTTTTTCGAATGGTTACAGATAATATAATTTGAAACACGCTACTTTAATGATCGGTGGTAAAATTTTTCACATAGTTCAACAATCAAAAGTGGAAAAAAGATTTAGATGAAAAAGTTCATTTGATCTAAATTTATTTTCTAAGCTGCTCCAAAATGATAATTTTACTTTGTAAATTAATGTAATACATTGACTTTTGTTCCCAAATATAGATAGTTTCTCATACGGGTGATTTAATTTTTTTAACTTTCATATCCTGTTATTTGAGTGCACATAAACAATCGCTCAATATTGTGTGCAGTAGTAAGACAGACACAATTATGTAGGATAAAATAAAAAAATTTTGAGAAAAAAATAATAACTTTTATGGGATTTTTTTGCACTAAAAACAAAGATATATCACCAATGTACCTAATAATTTCTAGGCTCATCGAGTCATTGAAAATGAATTTCTTACAAAATATTTAAAAAATTTTAAAATATATTAGGCAGTTGACGGAGAACATATGCGAGATATTTTTTTTTTTTAAATGATACCTATATTTATTAATTAAGGGTCTAACTCTTGATATTCGTTCTGATGATGTTATCTTGAAAGGAATGTTTCAATTAGGGGAGTGCTACGCTGCCAAAGAACTTTTTAGTAAGATTCAAATGGGTTCCTTGAAACCTAGTTTTTACACATACTGTGTAATGCTAGATGGATTTTGCAAGAACGGAGATGTTGATGAGGCATTACTGCTTTTGCAAAAGATGGAAATGGATGGGGTAGAGCTACATATTACCATGTATACTATCATCATTGATGGATTTTGTAGAATTGGGAGACTTGATAGAGCTTTTGGGATATTTTTCATTGCTTATCTTCTAAAGGATTGGATCCAGATGTTGTGACATATACTAGGATGATAACTGCGCTATGCAAAGAAGGTTTGCTAGAGGAAGCTATTGAACTTTTTATTCAAATGGAAGCAAATGGTTGTAAGGCAAATGAGATTACTTTCAATGCAATCATCCGAGGACTACTTAAGGGTGCTAAGTATGACGATGCTGCAGTTTATCTTCAAGAAATGCGAAGAAAAGGATTTATTTTGGATTTATCTAATTCATCAGATGTGTTAGATATAATCTCCAGAAAAAGAAGTCTTGCTCTATATAATGTCCTTCTGAAGTTTGATGCCAATGGCAACGTGAAAATTATGCGTGTGTGGTAAAAAAAGGGGCAGGTGCTAGAAAAAGCAGAAAAGAGTGCTAAGATTCGATGTGGCAGTTGGAAATCATAGTGGATGATTAAATTTCAGAAGCCTGAAATGGATGTTTGGGCTGGTTCGCTTTCTTAGTCGAGCATGTGATAGAAAGAATGATCTCTAATCTTTCATTCTTATGCAATGTTTATAGATATATGTAGTTAATGAGAGACTGCTGCTGCAATTATGCTGTACTTGTCTAACTTTAAAAAAATGGTTAACTCTCTTTGGTATTGCAATCATGTTCTTCCATGTTTATTTTGCAGTCACATTCTCATGTTTTGTAGTTACAGATTTAGCAAGTTTCCTAGAAAAGGCTGAAAAGAGTTTGAGTGGGACTTTCGGTATCATGCCAGACCCTCCATTACCTACTTCTGGTATCTGATCTGTTTCATTCTCTGACTTTCTAATGGTGTTGAAACTTTGGACTTGTTTTTATGGTGTTTATTTGCTGCATGGCTATGTTCATCATTTGTTCTCCAGAGGCCGACACTCTACCCTTCTATGTACTTCCGTCCATGTCCATAGCTACACTTCACACTGTCAATTGATGTGTGTTTTCTCTCTCTCTCTCTCTCTCTGTCTGTTTTTGCTGCTTTGCTCGGCTGTTCAAGGCTCGATCCTACCCAAGATTTTTCATCATCATTGTCTGCAGGTTCTGCAAAACGCCAACTTACATAAAACCTATCAACTTGAAGGCTTGATCATGGTGAAATTGGTCCAAACATTGTCCACCAAACTGCATTCAGAACAGCTTGTTCTGATAAAACAATTCTGTAATCAAGCTCAATATTGTTTCAGTTTATGGCCATATATAAGATTCAGTTCCAAGTCACTTTCTGTGAATTGTGCAACTTGGTTAAGTAATTCTGTCAAATTTTATCCAATTTTTGAGCTCAACGCATGGATATGAATAATTAATGATTGTAATGTTTTTTTATTCTCAATTATCATCTCATGATACATGAGATTTACTTATTGAGTTATAGATACACCACTTCGTTCATAATTTCTTCCCACTCTACATATACAAATAGCTTAAGCAAATGTTATATTTCATATTAATATTTTTTCGATTTACAATCATTTCGATCATCACAATTTTACCGTTAGTGGTTTACTTTTTAGGGGATAGGGTCTTTTTATCTTAAAGTTTTAGATAGAAAAATATTAAAAACTCTACAAATTTAATTAAAACAATAATTAATTAATTTGTTATATTTTATTCAATAATTAAAGATTAAATTCTGAAAATGGGCATTTACGCCATTTGTATATTTTGGTCATTTATATTAACGTTTGACTAAAATGGTGTTTTACATTTACGTTCGTAACCTTTTTGGTCCTCTAGCACTATTTCGATAGTTTGACCAGATCCGACGTCAAGTCGACAGGAGTAGTTTTGATGTCTCGCAAAATTATTTTTTAAAAAATATTAATGGATTAAAATAATAATAAAAATAATAAATATAAGTATAAAAATAAATAGTAATATAATAATTTAAAAATTGAGATTTGAATTTAAATTATTGTTAATTTTATTATTTTATTAAAATTTATTATACATATGATTATTTTAATCCATTAATATTTTTTAAAGAATAAATTTTGTGATACATCGAAATTAACATTGTTGACTTGATCTCAGATTTGGTCAAACTGTGAGGGTAGTGACAGAGGAGCAAAAAAGTTACAAATGCAAATTTAGAAGTCCATTATTTGCAAATGTTAAGTGTAAAAGACCAAAATGTGCAAATGACCTAATGTAAATGACCGTTTTCAGATTTTAGTTATAATCAATTGCCATAGATGGTGAAAAACAATGGTGAGATGAATTAGGTAAGTTATACATTATTACTCTAAATTCAAAATTGTCAAGTTCATATTCTTGTTCGGTATAATAGGACTAGAAAAGGTACCTTAATTTTGTTAAAATAAAATTATTGAACATTTTTGGTGATTTGTCATGTAAATAGGACCGGAAAAGTATCTCACCCTATTGAAATAAGTTAGTGAACATTTGAGTGATATATGTGTATTTTTCAACTTTCGAATTCATAATCATTCCGTATAAATAGGATGGGAAAAATACTTCTTTTTTTAATAAATAAAGTTATTGATCATTTAGGTGATACATCACTTTTTTCGTTCAAGAAAAATATGAGTTCTCTTTTTTACATTATTTTATCATGACTAATCTAAATTTAAGTTGAATAGGTCATTTTTGGGAGTTCTCCTTGGTGCACTCTTTTGTTCCGACTAGTCGAATTTAAAATCAAGTAATATATTTTAATCACTGTTGTATACTCATATTCGGGCTGATTATAATTAAACTGACACAATATTCTTGTATTTCTTCTGTCTTGAAAAAGTAGCTTATATTGAATTTTATGACAAACTAATTTTAGTTGAACTAGTTACATCTGAAAATTGGAAGTGGGCAATTTCTTTGGATAGTAATTGTATCATTTAAACCAAGTGGTTATTGGTAGACATCACTTGATAGAAATATAAACTTATCTTAGAGTAGATTTTCGCGGAAGACCATGAACAACAACCTTGGACGCGATGGAGTCCATTTGCAAGTCCGCAAAGGTAAAGCAAAAATGTCATAATTAGAATATAATTGCTCTTCTTGAGTGGATATAATTTTTCCAGGCTACTTGAAGCTACAACTACAATTGATGAAAATTTGAAATGATTAATGAAGTTGCTATGCAGCAATGTTGGACATTAAATCTTAATAAGATTGGATATTTGGATTGAAAATATTTCAGTCACCATCTTATTGAATTTGATATGTTGACAAGCTAATTATCTCAACAAATATTGTGAATAGGCGCAGTGTTTTCCTCTTTTTTTTTTTTTTTTTTTTTTTTAAGGCGTCGCATAGAATGGATAATGAAGATTTAGATAAATTGCCCTTAAAGATCTTAACAAACGTTAAAATTCTCAAGACTAGATGCGACTAATTAAGAAGTCAAAAAAATTGGTAGAAAAATTCGATTCCCAAGTATATCATGGATTCATGGTCTACAACTCCCCTTCACTTCAAAAGGATAGTACAATTTCAACTAGCAGACGAACGAATTCATAATAAATTTGTCTATATATGATTTATAAGGTTTTTTTTCCCCCTAGAAACAAAAATTGTTTGTGACATAACTAGCTCATTCAAATTTCAACCTGTATTAAAATTACTGAATGTAGAGTTTGGTAGTCCTCAAATGCACCAACAATGTGCGTTTTAAGCCCAACCTTTTATTCTTTAACTTCTAACCCAACTTTTATTTTGACATATTAACAAGCACTTCTGCTTCCGTTTTGAAGTGATTAATTAATTCTAGTGAGATCTCTGTCTTTATTTTTTGAATTTGA